AGTGGATGTTGGCCTAGTGGTTCCGGAGGCTTTGGACAACAAGTGTTAATGATGGAGAGGGGTCGCAGGGGTTGGAAGGTGAACTGGAGGAGGGAGGCAGTAGGTTGGAAGGTAAGGTAGTAAGCTGGGAAGGTGGGGCAGCAGCGGGGAAGGCTCGTCAGCACTTTCAGAGGGTGGACAACGAGCAAGGAAGCGCTGACAGCGATGGGAAAGACCTGGACAACAAGGTAGATTGCTGGAAGTGGGTGGGGTGAGTGTTGGGAATAATTTTGGGTAGGTGGACAACAAGATTGAGTTGTTCGGGAAAGACAGCTGAGTTTTGGGATGGAGTATGGGGAGTTGCGGCCTTGCTTGGAGAAGGCTGACAGCAGGTTGGAGGGAGAACAACAACCGGAGGTTGTTGGGAAAGAGGTGCAATGACTTGCTGTAGGGTGGGGAAGCTGGCGGACAATAACAGGAAGAGTGGAAGGATAGATTAATTTCTCGTCGGGGCCGTGCTATAGTTGGAGCACCACCGGGCCCGTGGAGACGATCATTACCTCGGACGATGGACAGCTGGAGCACTACCTTGACGCTTGATACAACCCTCGAAGGGGAAAATACTAATGCTTAAACCTGATTTCAGATATAAAAAACAAGACCCCTAACTCTAGTCACATCACCTCTTATTTATAAAGAGGCTCGACCTATTTTAGGAAGGAATTCAGATTTCATAAAGACTTTCAAAATAAGAAAGGAGAATAAAAAGATTTCAGATTTTTGGAAAGACTTTTAAAATAAGTGAGGATAATAAAAAAAGATTTCAGATTTTAAGAAAGGGGTTTAAATTAAGCATTTAGGATATATACAATATGGAGATATTCTATTAACTATTTTAATCTTAATTTTCTTTACAAGATTAAAAATAAAATAAAATTTTTAAAAATATCAACTCTTGTAATTTTCACTATTTTGTTTCATCTCTGTTCTAATTTAAAATAAAGATTTCTTTTCAAGATAAAAATTGATTTGATTACTTCAAGAAAATAAATAGGTATCATATGCTCCAGTTCAGCTTTTACCTTAATGCCTACTCGTTATAGTTATGTGCCAAAATCCATTTCCTAGCCTACTCGAGTTGTTTGCTTGCTCAAACCTATTAAATTACTTGCAATCTCTCTCTTTTGCTTGCCTTCGAACATGCTTGGCTTGACCTCAACCCCTCACCCCCACCCCGCCACAAAATCCGTCCCCCTTCTCCTCTACACACATGTTTGAGCCCGTCCCTACTTCTCATGCAAGTTCATTTGTTCTCTTGCTTCATGCTTGATCGCAACTCTCAAAGTGCTTGGTTAATTTGCTCTGCTCTTTTTTTGGTTTGCATCCCCATGGCTGATTTCTTCCACTTTTGCTTGCTATTCCTTCTTGCTCTAGCTCTTGAGCATTCATCTCTCCACATCACATTTCTATCATCGAGTCAAGCCCCTCTTATTGCTCTTTGTTTTGCACACAAGCTTCGTGTCCATCTCCTCATAATATAGAACTAATGTTAGTTCAATTGAACCCAAATTACTCAGTATAATTCCTGAAAAAATATTGAGGTTTTACTATCTTTTTTCTCTTACAAAAATTTCATTTTCAAAATTTACGTACTATAGCTCATTGCATTTGCCTAGCATGAATCATTTTTCTTAATATCAACAAGCAATAAGCCTAGACATTGCAATTTAATATTATAAAATCATAACAACTTAAAGTCATACAAAATGAGGTTTAATGTCAAATACATATTTGACCTGTTGGGGTAAGAAATTCATATAACATAACATATAATATATTCTTAATAACGTTTAATCAAATAAATTTTTGACATCATTATTTAAAATTACTTGTTTTATACCTCACCATGTTATGGTATAAACTTGTGACAAAATATTTTGTGGGCTTTAGCTTGAGTTGAAATAGTTGTTTCTTTCATCTTTTGACCATTAACATTTCTTTGTCAAGAAGTTACACTTAATTTTAGTTCTTTAAAAATTCTCTTGGCCAAGTACGGGTAACACATTATTATTTGTTTAGGCTGACAACGGTAATATATTTGGAGCTTGAGAAGCATTTGCCTTTATGATAATTCACATATTTAGCATATGATTCGATAGTATTATGAGTCATGTCATCGCTGAATCCACTAGAAATGAGCTTAGGCTTCATCACATATGATCCTTCTCTCTGGCTAATGTGCTTGTCTTCATCAATGCTCTTACTCTTATGCATCTACTTACATTTCTGAGTAATTTGAAAATCAATCTTCACCCTTCTGATCCTCTTTACTAATACAAAGTAATCATTGAAACTCAAAGATAATAATAGCTGCTTAATTCGAATCCTTCAATTCAAATAAATAATGGTGGGACTTCTCCTTTGCAGCTGAAATCAATTGTGATGCATATTCAGACAGTATAGTCAAAATTTCCTTGTATTGCATAACTGCCTACTTTATTTGTGCCAATTCAATAAAATTGTTTTGTATCTGCCGCTTTGTAGATATTGGCACAAACTATTCTTTGAATTGCTTTAAAAAATCCCCTCAATTTACCAACATGTTCGGTATGACCATTGCTTTTCCCAATGTTGACCTCGTCACCACTTTTGCTTCTTCATCAAATACAAATTTAGCGAGTGGTACCCTCCTTTCATCGAGGCATGCCATACTATCTTATATCTTCTCTATATTCAGTAATCATTTCACGACTTTAATTAGTTCTATATTTCCCTTGAATAAGGGTGATCACAAATCTTGGAATAACTCAAGTATTAATCCATTTTAACAACACTATTACTTCCTCTAGATCGAGATCTTAAATCTTGAATTAGCTGTGTCTTCCTCACTATCATTTGGGTAAAAGTACTGTTATGCATTATAACAATAGGTAGTAACGCATCTTGTCATATTTTCGTCTTTCATCTCCTCTTGTCATCCATATTTCGGTGGTATGAAAAACTGTATTACCCAATTAAAATTAAGATATAGTATAACCTAAAACTTTTAAATTTTGCATAAAAAATTTATTTATTATCATAATAGTTTTTTGTCATGATCCTAATTACTTAACCCAACCTTAGGCTTTGATATCATTATGCTCATAATTGGCCTGGAGCCTTGAAATGATCAAGGTAGGAATTTTAATTTTATTTCCATTTCTAATTAATAAATTAATTATTCAATAAATTGAGAATGCCACTACAACAACAACAACAACAAATCTTTATCCCACTAAGTGGGGTCGGCTATATAAATCTTTTTTCTCCATTGTGTCCTATTGAGTGCCATATTTTCATTTAATTGTAGTAAATTAAGATCATTTTTATACAATATGCTCACGTCTTCTTAGGTCTAACTCTGCCTTTCTTAACATAAGTTAAATATAAAACATCTACTCTCCTAATTGGATCATTAGATGATTGACATTTAATGTGACCAAACTGTCTAAGACGACTTTAATTTTGTCTGCCACTAGAGCTCCACCAACCCTATCGCAGATATATTCATTTTGCATTTTGTCTCAAAGTATAGAGCCACTCATCCACCTAAGCATTCTCATCTCAACAACATTTAACTTAGTTTTATGCTTCTCTTTTAAAGGCCAACATTCAACACCATAGAGCATTACAGGTCTCATCACGATCTTATAAAATTTTCCTTTCAGTCTGAGCGGTACTTTTCTATCAGACAATAAGCCTGAAACATTCCTCCACTTCAACCAACCAACATGAATTCTACTAATAACATCCCCATCTATATCACCTTAACTTTGAACAATAGACCTGAGATATCTAATGCATTCACACCTTCTAATAATTTGATCACCTATAGTTACAACTCTGTCATTAGAATTTTTACTACTAAAATTACATTCCATGTATTCAGTTTTAGTTGTACTCAAACGAAGGCCTTTAGACTTTAATGTAGACATCCATAATTCAAGTTTTTTCTGAGCTTTCTCTCTAGTCTTATCCACGAGAAAGATATCATCAGTAAAAAGCATACACCAAGGTACATCCTCTTGTAAATGTCCAGTAAGACCTTCCATAACTAAAGCAAAAATACTCATCCCTGATGTAATCTAACTGAAATAAGAAAATATTTGGTCGATTCTCCTTCTTTTCGAACAAAAGTAAGAGTTTTAGTAAACATATCTTTAATGACTTGAATATAAGTCATATTAACACCTTTCTTTTTAAGAACTCTCCAAATGATATCTCTTGAAACTTTATCATAATATTTTTCTAAATCAATAAAAATCATATGTAGATCCTTCTTGTTCTCTCTGAACTTCTTCATCAAACCTCTCAATAAATGTGTAGTTTCCAAGTAGTCCTGCCCGACGTAAATCCAATTTTATTATGAGAAATTTTTGTAATACATCTTAACCTATGTTGAATTACCCTCTCTCATAATTTTAAAGTATGACACATCAACTTAGCTCTTCTATAATTCACACACTCTTGTGCATCCCCTTTATTCATAAAAATGGGGGACCAAAATACTCTTCTTCCACTTCTCAGCATTTTCTTAGTTCTTAAAATAATATTGAAGTGTTTAGTAAGCCTTAAAAACTCCCAAATCTCTTATATATTTCCACACTTCAACTTTTATATTTGAAGTCTTCTATTTTTACTAGCAATAAAATACTCTTTGCATCGATCTATTTGCTCTCTGTTCTAGTGTGAGGAAAATTTTTCCCTTCATTCATGCAATTTTTTTTGGTAGATAGGCTTATTATTATTTGTTCTGATAGATTTTTTCCCATCAAGATGAACTATGCTTATAAAATGTATGCACTGATGCTGATAAAATATTGATGAATGGATTTTAAATCTATTGCAAAAATCATCAATTATGCCGAGTGAAATAAAATTTTGAGGGACAAGTTTTTTTTTAATAAATAATTTTATAGTTTAGTTAGAATTTTAAATGTCATCTGTTTTGGCGGTGCTAAATGTTTTTATTGTTTGTATAGGGCACAGAAATTTGTTTTCAACGACCTTGGAAGAGGGAAACAATGTGTAATCTTGTTAACGAAGCTACTGGAGTAGACTTTGGACAGTTTAAGAATGATCTTAAGGCTGCAAAAGAAGCTGCAAAAAATATTCTGAGAGCTACAGGGGATGATTATGATGCCCTGGTGCAAGCATGTCCATCCGTTGGTCATGTTTTTAATGAGGTTAAGTTTTTTTTTTTTTTGGCTTTTGTTAAGGTCTCTTATTGTTATATGAAAACATTTTTATTATGAATTACTGTACTTGCTTTCCATTATTTGTGTTAGATAGTTATTCTTGCCATACAAAAGTGAACAGTGGGAACAAAATTGCATTGCTGGGTTAAGTGCAATATTCTTATTCCCTAGAAGCATTGCATGTGGGTTTTCTCTTTGTTCTGTTTGTCATATCAATCGTATTATAACTTGCACTTTTAGCCGAAGTTCTTTTATTATTTTAACGGGGCAATTTTTGTGTAACATTCAAAAGTTGGCTATCTATAAAAGTAGCACCTAAGTATTACATCTTTTTGCGATAATACCATGTAAATCTTATAGAGCACAATGAGCAACAGCTTATATATTTTTTTTACTTGGATATTTAATAATTTGGTTATGACGTGCAGATACATTTGCTAGTAATTTTTGTTTTTTAATTCTGGCTGTTTTTTTTTTTATTAAATTCGTAAGTTTTAGATGTTACACAATATGTAATGGTTTGTTTTGTTAGTTACTCTTTTACCAGTCTATTTGTTCCTGGGGGTGGACCAACCTGAGAATGAAAATTAATCCATTTGGCACAATGTCCAAGTCACCAGTCTCCAGATATATTGTAAAACATTTATTTTTCTCTCATCTAGAAATTTTTAAATATTAAATATCAGATGAAAATTTTTCTTTTTATGATGAATTTTTCCAAGTAAAAGTTGTTTATTACTCAATAATATTTAAAGCTGAAAACATAGATTTTGGTTGTCATAACGCTGGTGTAATCAATTGTTTTTGTTTCATTTAACAGTTTAGAAGTTATTCTTTCAGGTTTTTGAGATCATTGTCGTGCCAAAGCTTCTGCAACCAACATTTGTTCTTGACTATCCTGTTGAAATATCACCCCTAGCTAAACCACACCGAGGGTATGCAGTTTCAAATAATTTATGTAACATATGCTACTTGTCTGGAAATCCACTTCATGCTGCAGTAATATTTTTTATGTTTTCAGGTTTCATTTCCTATTTTAGAAATTTGAATTTCTCCAACATGCTGTTGACTCTTGGTTTATTTTTTTACACGAGCTCCTTGCATAGAAAATGGAAAACCTAGTATGTACTTTGCCAATTAAATAATGAGGCCTTCAACCATTGGCCCAGCCTCTCTTGGTTTGGCTCATTTCAGATTCTCTAGAGAAGATGTGATTGCTATAGATGATAGAATGATCAAAATACTCCTGTTTCCACCTGAATGGTATTGTTACACTATTGTCCTAGTACTACTACTGCGATGCATTGCTGCATTTTTGTTTTGTTTCTGTTCTGTTTCTTCATTAAAGATTACAAAAAGAAGATGAATAGCATTTTGAGCAGTATCAAATATATGCTCTATACCCCATCATATCACCTATTCCTTGCTCTGATTTGTGAAATATTTGACATGATGGCGCGGGGGTTTGGGATTGAACTCGCCTTGCCGGTTCATCAGGAAGAAGGCTCTCGGTCCAGCTTAGCAGGAAGCTAAACTGGCCCTCTCCCTATTTTCATTGGGCGGGAATTATTCTCCACTTCTTGTTTTGTTTTCTCGTCTATCCATCTTCTATTTAAATGTTGTTTCTCTATTTTAGGTTTAGTTTTTGGCTCATTTTTCTGTCTGGACAACCGCCGGCAACCCCTCCCCCCCCCCCCACTTCCTTTATGGCTGTATATGAGGACGAGTGGTGCTCCAACTGTATTATGCTCTAAGGTGGTGTTTATCCCCGTGTATTCCCTCGCTTCTTCCAATCACCTGCTAGGAGCTAGCTTCATTGTACTCCTTACCTTCTCGATTGCTTGCTGCAGCCCTATCTTTACCGCTTGCTTAGGGTTCTTCCGAGTCGCAGTCCAGCGATCTGTCTGTAGCCTCTTTCCTGTTTACATCCCTCCAAGTCTCCCGCCTACTACCATACACCCCCCAACAACCCGCCACCCTATTATTCGAGTGGAGCACCCCAGGCCCCGCACCCCCCAACTCTTCTATTACCTGTGTGGATCACCGCCTCCCCCCCCCCCCTCTATTACCCGCGTGGAGTCACCCCAGGCCCCACACCCCCCCAACCCTTCTATTATCTGTGTGGAGTCACTCAAGGCCCCCGACACCACCCCCTCCCTCAACCCAAAAAAAAAAAAAAACGCCCTCACTAGGAGCTGTTCCTAGCCCTTCACACCTCCAGATGTGTCACATTGCTTGGACCTCTCCCGTATTTCCTTTCATATTTCTGTCTGGGCAGCTGTCGAGACTCCCCCTCCCCCTCCTCCCCGCTTTTCCCTTTTAGGGCTCTATCTGAGGACGAGTGGCGGTCTGACTGTATCCTGCTCTGAGGTGGTGTTTATCCTTATTTATTCCCTCACTTCACCTACTCGCAGATAGCTTCTTTGCACTCTTTATCTTCTCAATTGCTTGTTGCAGCCCTATCCCTGCCACTCGCTCAGGGTTCTTCTCAGTCGCAGTCCAACGACCTGTCCGTAGCCTCTTTTCTGTTTACATCCCCCCCCTCCCTTATCTTGTGTATTCCCTCACTTCTCCCACCTACTCGCAGATAGCTTCTTTGCACTCCTTATCTTCTCAATTGCTTGTTGCAGCCCTATCCCTGCCACTCGCTCAGGGTTCTTCTCAGTCGCAGTCCAACGACCTGTCCGTAGCCTCTTTTCTGTTTACATCCCCCCCCTCCCTTATCTTGTGTACCCCCAACCCTTCTATTACCTTCGTGGAGTCACCCCACCCTACCCTAATCAAACGCTCCCCACCAAGAGCCGTTCCCAGCCCTCCACACCTCCAGATCTGTCACACTACCCGGTCCTCTCCCATAACTCCCTTCAGCAGCCTACACCCCTCCACCTTTATACCGCTATACCCTTCCTACAACTACCAGAACCACTCCTCTACCTTCCTGTCATAATCCACATATTCCAGCCCTCTACTCACTGTTCATGGGTCATCTCACCTCGCCATCGCAGGAGAATCTTGTTGTTGTGTTTGTCTATTATTTATTTTTTGTCTTTAACCCGTTGTATTTCAGTAATAATATTTCAGTGTTTTATTGTGGTTTGGGTTAACTCTAATATTATTTAGTATCAGAGCTAGGCCAATCCTAGTTCTATCCTAGGATTTTCTAGCATCCGTCGTAATCCAAAAAATTTTTTCCTACCGCTAAATACTCTTTCGACTATCACATATCCCGAATCCTAATTCCCTTTTATTGATTTTCAAAATCAGCAACCTTAAACCACTTATTTTTACCCTCTCACCTCCCAACCCTAAACCCTTGCTATGCCATTAAGGAGACACATGCCCGAGTCTATCCGGGAGGAGATACACTGAGTCCGCCAACTTCAGCAGAGGCTTGCGACCATTAAGGATGAACTCCAATGAGAGGTTACCCTCGACCGTGATCGGGAGAGTCGAATGGGAGAATAAGAGAATCTGAAGACGAAGCGGGAGACACAAGGGCAGCTCCTACTAGCTTACTACAGACAGAGGGTGCAGACTATGGCTTCAAAAGTTGAGAGAGCACATCACCGAGCATCCCCCACATCCAACAGACAAAGTTCAACCTCAGGATCATACAGTCAGAATACATCTAGGAGCACACGGAAGACGACCGCATCAGAGAAAAACTTTTTTAGAGTGGAGAACAAGTACAAACTATCCACATCCCTAAATCTGTCATAGCCAATAAGAGTTACAAGTGTCACAAATTTGGGAATGTTGAATCAGAATGCACAACCAGGGGAGTGATCTGTTTCACTGAGTAGGGTGTTGTTGAAAATTTGGGCAATGACACAGAGATATTATTCTCAACTTGTAGCCAATGAGGAAAAGGCATTTTCGATTCCAGTCGACCTTAGGAGGGAGATTCCGACTGAGATAACAATGGTTGTTTTAGAAGGCAGTAACCTTGGGGTAATAGGCGTTCATGCAGAGTATAAGATTGTGGCGCCTCAAGTTACCTTTTGGTTAGTGTTGAGAGGAACAATAACAGGACTAACTTTACTTGTCCAAAGAGCCATGAACTTTATTATCCAAATTATTGTAGGCTTAGCAGATCCTAAATGAAGTTTGATTTGGGCATGGATGGGTCTATTTGAAAGGTTTGATGATCTTGACATAGCCGCGCGGTCCTTTTTTAAAAATAATGCTCTGTTTAAAATTTTTTATGTAGAACTATTTTTCATGCATGAAATTCTAAAACAAAAAAAAAAAATTATATAAAAAAAGTATATGATTATCATCAACTGGTTTGCACGCTTCTCATTTGTGGTAATGAACATCATGCAACTTACAAATCAAAATTTTGATCATTGGATTGGTTTGTAGAGAAAAAAAATAATTTTATGTGGTAGGAGACAAAGGTCAATTTCATATTAAAGGATTTCAGTCATTTCAAATGTATAGCTTATCTCCTCAGTTGTCCCGATGAAAGGAAGTCCAATTTGTCAGAGATGAGAAGATGTTGAGTTACTGCAAGACAGTTGTGAGCCATTTGGGGATTAAATTCAGTTCAATGGTATGCCTCCCGACAGAGGATCGGGCAGGATGGATTTGGATAAAAAATATTCTACCGTGGGATCCAGTTCCTTCTCGAGAAGAAAAAAAGCCTCTCATGAGTGGTTACATGTCAGGGTGGCCCAACCTGCTAGAGATATCATTCCAGAGTTGATCCCACTGATAATCTTGTTTATCAGACACATTCAGCCCAGTACGGGGAATGGGAGAAACATATTATATATTCTTTTGCTTATAATTTAGCTCAGGAGAACCTACGTCATTGTGTACCTCCTATTCAGATTGTGTCAAAAGAGGATGAATACCTATTCTATCAAGATGTTTTTTGGAGCAACGCCGCCTTCAGAATTGATTTATCGAGAGCTTACAACATGACTAATTGACTACTACTAGGATACAAAGAACTTCGACGAATGTGGTCGAAAGTCAACCACCCCTGAGAGACTGATGCGGGGTGAACCGACCCAACCATTTAAACAGGCGAACTAGTTCAGTAGGAAGAAGGCTCTCGGTCCGGTAGGAGGCTGGGCTGGCCCCCTCTCCCTATTTTCATTTGGCAGGAATTATTCCCCCATCATGTTTTTGTTTCCTTCCTATCAATCTTCTATTTATATATTGTTTTGCTATTTTAGTTTTAGTTTTTGGCTTTTAGATTTCTGTTTGGACAACCGTCGACACCCACCCTTTTCACTTTCAGGGCTGTATTTGAGAACGGGTGGTACTCCGGCTGTATCCTGCTCCGAGGTGGTGATTATCCCCACGTATTCCCTCGCTTCTTCCGCTCACCTACTTGCAATTAGCTTACTTACACTCTTGTCCTTTCTGATGTTCTGATGTTGTTGTATCCTTACCGCTCACCCAAAATTCTTTCCAGTCGTAGTCCAATGATCTGTCTGTAGCCCCTTTCCTAATTTCCATCCCGTAACTCCCTCCAAGCCTCCCAAGTACTACCGCTACCAACCCTGCCCTTCTATCACCTGCGTGATGTTCCCATCCCTTCACCTGATCTGCCACACTACCTGGTCTGTGGGCTGATCCCAGCTCTTCTACCTGATCTGCCGCACTACCTGGCCCTCTCTTGTAACTCCCTCCAACAGCCTGTACCCCTCCACCCCTATACCCTTTCTACAACTTCCAAAACCCCTCATCTCTCTTCCTGTCATAATCACCACACATTCCAGTCCTCTACCTGCTGTCCATGAGTCATCTCACCTCGCCGTTGCAGAAGAATCTTGTTGTTGTGTTTGTTTGTTTTTTATTTTCCGTCTTGAAGGAGTCTTTAGTGTGACCGTTGCATTTCAGTAATAATATTCCGTGTTTTATTGTATATTGGGTTAACTCCAGTATCACATGAACAATTTTTTTAGTGTAAGATTCAGTT